GGCCGAAGCTGGACTGCGAGTGTCGGCTTCGACTTGGCCTTTCTGATGGAACGCGAGGTATCAAGCTTCCGGTACGGGTTATATGCCTGCCAGCTCGGTTCCTCGAGGGCCTTGGCAGGGATCGTGGCCATACATCCCAGTTCGGGCGGTCTACTCGTATCCGCGAGCTCGGCGCGGAAGACAGGGGCGCCGCGTTGTTCGTCTCCCGCGAAGAAGAACCGCCCCGTCGTCGTGAACGCCCCGTCATCCTGCAGCGGCGTGGACTCGCCGCCGCTCGACTCACCCTCCGCGCTGTCCTGTCGTCGCCATTGCGGGGGATTGACGACCCGTCTCTTCTTGAGGACCGTCCGGAGCTTTTTGGTGTTTGTCCACGTGTTTGCTGGCTTGACTCGGTGGCGCGTGAGACCGTTTGAGTGGAATGAGTCCGGCTTCGGACTGCCGGGGCTGTCGAGCGCCTCTCTCGACGTGCGCCGGATCATGCGCCCGAAGATGCGGTTGATGCCCCTCTTGACGGCCTGGGGTGATATTGGCGACAGTTCGTCGTCCGCGTCGCCGCGAAAGGGAATCGCGTCCGTCTCGATGGTCGAGACATCCTGCGAGCTTCCGCCCCGCCTCGAACCCCTCACGCGCTTGCCGGGCTCAGCGCTGCCCTCGAAGACGAGCGGCGCGGCAGTCTCGCCCGGTGGCAGCAGGAACAAAGCCCTGAGAAGGGTCTGGTGCTGGGCGACAAAGAGCCGCGGGTCGGGGAAGTGGTGATAGTCAAAGTCGGCGGGGAGCTGGCGCTTGAATATCTCTGCTCGGATCGGGTCGTCGGAGGCGTCAAAGACGACATGAAGGAGGCCGAGCGAGGCGTAGTACTCGGTCGAGTACTCGTCGCTGTCCTGCTTCTTCCACAGCCGCTTCTTGCCGAGAAAGGCCTGCTGGCAGGTGGCGAGCGCCTCATCCGTCTTGCCCTGGGCGAGGTATGCGATGGCCAGGGCGTGCAGGAGGTTGCACACGACCATGTTCCGGCCGGCTTTCGAGCGGGCGAGCTCCGTCACCAGCGGCGCGGCCTTTTGCCAGGAACCCTCGAGAAAGTGGCAGATGGCGAGCTGGATCTTTGTCGTGCGTGTGGGCTTGTGCGCGACGCCCGCCTCGGTTGAGGCGGTGGCCTTGGAGAGGAAGCGGCTCAGGAGGCGTGCTGCGTTGGCAAAGTCGAGTGCTTTGATGCTTTCATTGGCGAGCTCGTAAAGGCCAGAGATGTAGTACTGGTCAAAGTCTGAACAGTCCTCGCCATCGTCCTCCTCCTCCTCTTCCTCTTCGTCTTCCGTTTCTTCGTCTGAACGACGTTGTTCACAGACTTGTGGCGCCGAGTCTGACGCCAGGGCCGGCGAGTCTGACGTCCATTTCTTCTGGTCGCTTAACTCTTCTGGATTCGTCCTTGCTTTGGATAGAACAGGCGTAGCGAACTCAGGAGACTGGCAACGTCCCTGCCGGAGGCACTGCTCAACCCACTGGCGTCTGATGGGAGGGAAGTCGCCAGCGAGGCTGGAACCCGTCCTGGAGAGCTGGCGGACGGAAGCATTGCTGTCATCTGCCCTGACGGTACTAGCAGTCGAAGAAGCGGCAGAGTGAAACTGCTTTGCCGCCTCGGCCAGGTGCCACAGATTCTGGCATAGACGGGCATCAGGGAGAGAGATAAAGTGCTGGGAGAATCCGCCGACCGGCAGACGAGACACTCGGAGTGCTGCTTCAATAGACAGCTTGAGCGTACTCAGCTCGGTCAGGATCTTGGCTTGCGACGTGTTGCTTCGCAGAGACAGCGACCTAGAGGCGACCTGTTGTCAGCAAGGCGTACAGACAGATGCCTAGTATACAGACGCAGATGGGATCATACGAACACATTGATAGTACTGAGAATGGTCTGTAAAGCCGAGTTGGACTTGTGGATCTTGTCTCTGAACGCAGCCAGCTCGCCATCGTAGACGGCCAGGTCCGCTACCGTTCGAGTCTTCCAGGCAAAGCCCTTCGTGTGGGCGTGCCTCTTGATCCTCTCGACCAGTTTTCCCAGGTCGTTCAGCGACAGCTCGCAGTTGACCAACGACTGGTCAATCTCCCGCCACAGCTCCTTCTCCACGAGGGCAAAATCCAGGGTGCCATATCTCCTCAAAGTCTTGTCCACCGTATTCAGAAAGTTTGTTAGATTGGTGAGCTCCTCGCAGAGTCCTACGATACGGACTTCCACCGTTCGGTAGGACTTGGCGAGCTTATAGAGGGACTTGGTGATCTGTTTGTTAACCCTTTAGCGCCGGGCGCTCACAGTGTCTCATGCCCCTTGCGCCGACATCTCAATCGACTCAGCCGAGCATCTGAAGATGTGGACTTACAAAGCCAGCAGCCTCCAGCAAGGGCACCGTCGAGGCAGCAATCGAGAGGGGGTCCATGGCGGCGAATCAGTCGGATTGTCAACAGTCCTACGACCACAATATTGGTGCTTGTTTCAATTGAAGTCAGAGTCCTACGTTGAGATAACCACCAACAGCAGACCATCATCACAACAAATCGACAGGTCGCACCATACGGAATGGGGCGGCCGCCAGTATTCATGGTTGACGCCGAAGGTCTGCCTTGTTGAACGCCTTTCGCCGAGATGGGTGCCGGTCTGCCGCGCCTCCACGGCTTGCATGGCCAGTACAGAGGGCCTATGAGACGTGTATGTTCACGCAGTGAGACGAGCTACTGCTGTGCAGCGCGCAGGGGGGCAGCACCTTGTCCTGCCAAGGCTTGATGCTCATAGGTTGAGAAGCTGCACTGCGCCTCTTTCGACACGATCACCAGCCAAAACATCCCTGAACTCGCCCAGTCAAAATGATTCCACAGGGCTGGAGGCAGCCTGGCGGTGCAAATGGCCTGTGGTCGCCTTACGAGGATGACGAAGATGACGCGCATGAACGAGTGCGATCTGGCTCACTGGGGCCTGTTCAGATTTTACACTTCGTGAGACATGAAGCCGATATCAACGCTAATACAGCACTTTCTTCAAATGATCTAGGGCGGTACAGACTGAATTCCGTCACCGATGGACCTCAAATCTCGGCAATTGGAGGCCCGGGGATGACATAGGCATCAATGTCATCCACCCAGATGTTAATGTGAATCCCCGGATGATCCTGCAGCGTACAGTGTCAGCCCCGGTATGGCACAATGCCCACGAAGAATGATACTCACAGCCTTTTATTCCCCGGGGAAAGATACACCTGACGGTATCGAAGCACTGCCCCCGTTCGTCACCTTGATCTGGTAGCAGGTCATGTAGAACTGCGCCGCGCCGAGCTGACCTGCGCTGTGGAGCGAATAGCCTCTGCGCGGACCAAGTAATCGCCAGAGGCAGGTCTCCGGTATCCTACCGCTGTCAGTCCTCTGGATTTGATATCAACGTAGACGAAGTCTTACATCACGCCCGAAGCGACCGCAATTGTTGTTCAGATAGTCAGTTCCCCAGACCTGGTCCTCGGGTGTGTATCCATACTCTCCAATCTTGAAGAATGGGTCTGAGCCGTCGGCAATCGTGGCGTCTGGGACGGCCGCAAGGTAGACCATGACAGGGCCATGGTGGTTTCCTCCGATGGCAGGCTTCTCGCAATCACGGTCACCCGGCTGCTCATGCATCTCTACCTCAATCATGGAGCCCGCTGGTTTGCGAATGTCAGCGCATCAGCCTGAGTCGAAGGATGGCAAGGGTGAATTGACATACCAGGAACTTCACAAATGCCCGCCACGCCGCTGGCACCTCCGATATTGCATCGGAGGTTGTTCGAAGCTACGTCTTCGATCGGACTATTGCCGGGAGGAAGGCGAGCGCAGGTGCTGCCCTGATCAACGCCGTCGATCCAAAACTGCTGAAACGTAGCGTGACCATGAGCCATGCTGAGCAAGGCAAACATACCCAGAGTAGATCGCATGGTTGTTTGGAGTGCTGGGAATGTTCCAGAGTCTATTGAAACGAAAGTACCAGGTTCAGCCTATGTTTCGGAGCGGATGTCCTGATCTTATGAGAGCCGGGAGATCAAGACAGTCACGATCCGTCCATCACAGACAGACTACTTATATAGACATGTCTTTACCATCGCCCAGAAATGTGAGACCATCTTCCTCTCGGCTGTTCTCCCGACTCTCCCACGCACTATATTCCGAGCGTGCTTTCGTCGGGCCATTTTACCCCAAATGAATGATCATCAGCATCTCGATGAACGAGACGTCAGGCATGCGCCACGATAAAGTGCCGTGCTGCCATCGCCTTGAAACCCGGGGCAGCGGGAAACCGAAAGCTCCTTAGGCGCCATACATAACCACTCTTTGAGGGGTGAGCTATGCAGCCATGATCAGAGGGAAACATGGTCTCACAAGCTAATAAGAGAGAACCCGCGCCGACCACTGAGATCTCCTTGATGAGCCGTGACAGATAGGGGGGCCAACTATAACAGGACGTTGTAAGGAAGGCGATCGGAAGATTAATTGGAGATCAGTGCCGGTTTGGGCGCGGAGGCAGACACCGGGGGTTGTGGGGCCGGCGTGTCACGTTGAGCGGCCCCGGACATCAAGGCGGATGATGCGTGGGGTCGGCTACTCTATGTCCAAGACTTTCCAAGCATTGACAACACGACTGTGACGTAGAAAATACAGGCGGCATGGGATAATTTTAAGCTGTGGTGCCAGCAGTCTTGCGATCGGAGGGCCAACTTCGAGATGCCATCTCTCACAGGCCAGCCGAGGCGCGTGCTCATCGGCTCGCTTCTCGTCCGTGTAGTGGCTGCGATAGATTGGAGAAGTCATGGTCATATTAATTAAATGCATTGAAGTATTGTAAATGGCGCAGACTGGTCGAGTCGCATCAACTGAACCCGGATGCGTTGCGAGAAGACTTTCAGTTTCCGTATCCAGCGAAGAGATGATGTAGCACAGATCTTTTTGTCTGCTGAGTACAATCGACACAGCGCACGCATGCAACTTGAATAAAATCAACGGCCATGAATAACCATGAAACTACAGAGCTGCCAGACGACGAAAACTCTGCCAGCGAAGAGGAAAGAAGATCCATAACGAACCATCTAGGACTTCCTACGTGAACAGTCCGCTCGCCTAGAACAACGGCGGAGTCCCCGCAGGAAGGAACACGGAGATGCCGAATCAGGCAAAGCCGACGAAATGAAGCCGATATAAAGGTTCGAATCGTCCACGCACAGGTTTCTCACAGCATACCCAGTCACTCACTCATGCACGGCAAGGGGAAAAGTATTTTGGAAGGTGATTGTCATTTCTCAACCTTGAAGACTAGATCCTGATTCACATCCTCTCGTCAACTTCACTTAATTACAACGAGCCACCTCTCCGACTCCCACAACAACAGCCAAGTATATATATCTCGAAAGGGGGCCATGGCAGGCGACCCCAATCTTGGTTTTCGGGTATAAACTTCTCCTCGTCGATCATCGACTTACACGGCCTCGCTCTTGTCAAGGACACCGCCGTGGGAGCGGGCGCCAGCGAAGGTCTGGTGGGGGGTCCACTTAGCGGAAGTGCGGGGAGTCGTCTCCTCCATCATGCGGTCAACCTGCTCGAGAGACAGACCCTTGGTCTCGGGGACGAAGAAGTACGAGTAGATGAAGGCAGCGGTGCAGAGAGAACCCCAGACGAAGAAGACGGAGGACTTCATGTTACCGTAGTCCTCGCCGACCATGTAGGGGGTGATGACAGCGATGACAGTGTTCCACAGCCAGTTGGAAGCAGTGGACAGAGCAACACCACGAGAGCGGATAGGCAGGGGGAAGATCTCGCCGATGAGAATCCAGGCACCGGGACCCCAGGTGGAGGCGAAGAAGAAGATGGAAATGGCAATGAAGGCGATCTGGGAGTTGACAGCGGGGATGTTGTCGGCGATGCTCTTCTCGGCGTCGTTGGGGTCAGGGTGGGTGTGGTTAAAGCCGATCGTGACACCAATGATGGCAACGATGAACTGGCTGACAAGCATGCCGAAGGCACCGACAATGAGGATGAAGCGGCGGCCGAAGCGCTCGACGGTCCAGAAGGACAGAGGAGTGGACAGGACGTTGACAAGGGTGAAGACGAGCGACATGAGGAACTCGTCCTTGACGGCGCCAGTGGAGCGGAGGAAGGGGGTGGAGTAGTAGAAGATGAAGTTGACACCAGTCCACTGCTGCATCATCTGCAGAGAAGTACCGAGGATGGTCTTGCGCAGGTTGGAGTTGGACTTGAAGACGGAGCCGCGGAAGCAGTTGGCCCAGCTGCCGAACCAGGTGGTGGAGGGGATGAGGGCACGCTCGTACTCCTCGTTGGCGACGATCTCAGCGAGCTCCATCTGGATGTAGTCGCTCTCGGCGGGCTGGCCACGAACGCGGGACAGAGACTCGGTGGCAGCGGCCAGGTTGCCCTTCTTGACGAAGTAACGGGGCGAGTCGGGGAGGAGCATGAGGCCACCACCGAGGATCAGGGCCCAGGGGAACTGGATGGCGATGGGGATGCGGTAGGCACCAGTGTCGTTGCGCTCCTTGGTGGCATAGACGACAATAGAGGCCAGCATGATGCCGATGGTGATGCAGAATTGGTAGCCGGCAACGAGGGCGCCGCGGACCTTGCGGGGGCACTGAAGATGATGTTAGCGTGTGGACTACGAGGAGAATGAGCAGGGATGGCTTACAATTTCGGACATGTAGAGAATGACAATGGCAGACTCGAAGCCGACACCGAGACCAGCAACGAGACGGCCGGTGACAATGGCAGCGAGGGCATCACCGTGACCAGTAATCATCTGGATCACGACACCGAGCATGTAGATGAAGCAGCCGAGAATGACGGTCCACTTGCGGCCGATCCAGTCGGCGACATCACCGGCAATGACGGCACCGAAGAAGGTACCGGCGGACAGGATGGAGACGACGAGCGAGGTGTTGGAGGAGGACAGAGACGCGGCACCGGGGTGCTCGACGTTATCGATGAAGATCTGGGAGCCGAGGACACCGTTGATGTAACCGGAGTCGTAACCGAAGAAGATACCACCGAAGGCGGCGAAGGCACACATGAGGTAGCCTTCCAGGTGACAGGAGCCTCAATGCGCTCGACATCGTCGGTGGTGTGGAG